TACGGCGTGCTGACACTTCCGAGCCGGTGTCAGGGCGGCACTTATTTAGGGGGGCGGCGCGGTGCCGCTGCCCCCCCCTTCCAATGGAAGGGACACTAAGTACAGGAGCTGGCAGGGGGCTGCTATTTCTTACCTGGCTCCGGTCCCAGTCCCACAACGATCCAGTCCAGGAAGTGCGGCTGCTCCTTCATTCAGTTTGGCCGCTCCCTTACTCGATGTTCGCGCGGGGGCCGCTCAGCTCCGCCTCCTCACCGGTGATTGGGTGCCAGGAAAGGCACACAGGCGGCCAATCACCTGCGAGCAGCCCCGCGAACATCGAGTGAGGGAGCTGACGGTAAGTGTGCCGTGCAGATGATGCTGCTGCAACCACGTATGCTGGCTGCAGCAGCACCATGCTGGAACAGGGGTCAGTCAAGTGTCATTGGTGTCAGTGGGAGGAATAGTGCCCCATCATTGGTGTCACTGATACTAATGATGGGGCACTATTCCTCCCCCCCACTGACACCAACGATGGGGCACTATTCCTCCCCCCCCACTGACACCAACGATGGGGCACTATTCCTCCCCCCCCACTGACACCAACGATGGGGCACTATTCCTCCCCCCACTAACACCAACGATGGGGCACTATTCCTCCCCCCACTGACACCAACGATGGAACACTATTCCTTCCCCCACTGACACCAACGATGGGGTACTATTCCTCCCACTGACACCAATGTTGGGACACTATTCCTCCCGCTGACACCAATGATGTGGCACTATTCCTCCCACTGACACCAATGACTGGGCACGATTCCTTCTACTGACACCAATGATGGGGCACTGTTCCTCCCACTGACACCAATGATGGGGCACTATTCCCCCCACGGACACCAAAGATGGGGCACGATTCCTCCCACTGACACCAAAGATGGGGCACTATTCCCCCCACTGATACCAATGATGGGGCACTATTCCTCCCACTGATACCAATGATGGGGCACTGTTCCTCCCACTGACACCAATGATGGGGCACTATTCCTCCCACTGACACCAATGATGGGGCACGATTCCTCGCTCTGACACCAATCATGGGGCACTATTCCTCCCACTGACACCAATGATGGGGTGCTATTCCTCCCACTGACACCAATGATGGGGTGCTATTCCTCCCACTGACACCAATGATGGGGCACAATTCCTCACTCTGACGCCAATGATGGGGCGCTATTCCTCCCCACTGACAACAATGATGGGGCACGATTCCTCGCTCTGACACCAATGATGGGGCACTATTCCTCCCACTGACACCAATGATGGGGCACTATTCCTCCACTGACACCAATGATGGGGCATAATTCTTCCCACTGACACCAATGATGGGGCACTATTCCACCCACTGACACAAATGATGGGGCATAATTCTTCCCACTGACACCAATGATGGGGCACTATTTCTCCCACTGACACTGATGGAGTACTATTCCTCCCACTGACACTAATGATGGTACACTATTCCTCACACACTGACACTAATGATGGGTCAATAGTGTCCCATCATTGGTGTCAGTGGGAGGAATAGTGCCCCATCATTGGTGTTAGAGCGAGGAATCGTGCCCCATCATTGGTGTCAGTGGGAGGAATAGCACCCCATCATTGGAATACCATACTGAAATACCATACCATATTGAAATCAAATCTGATGTTTTTTAATTTTTATTTGGTGTGCGTTGGAAGAGGGGTAGTCTTATAGCCTAAACCCTATATTTTAACAGGAAAAGTAGGGGTCGTCTTATACGACCAGTCGTCTTATACGCCAGAAAAAATACGGTACATAAAATAAATGTAAAAAAAAACTAAATAAATATATATATATATATCTCAAACAATGCATAAGCAACATTCAATACAATATGAAAAAAAAGACAATCTACAGCAATACCCTCTCATAAATCCCACATGTCCCTTCAAAACTGGGCCACCTATGAGGGGGATCAACATGGGGACAGAGAGACCCTCTCACATATCAAAAATTATAAAATACTGATAGCAGTATATTTACCTTCAAGCACCAATTGTATAGTAGATCTTATTCCTCAGAACATCATATACAGAAATGAATGTTCTTTCAGCGATATATATTATATATAAAAGAAAATGATACATAGAAGAAATATTGGTATCAAGCCCAGAACATAGCAGAGATGTTATGAAGCACCAAAACTGTATCTTCACTTACCATCAACTCTATGGGGTCACCAACAGGACTCAATCCAAAAGACTACAACTATATTGCCATATGCTACTACTGTGGTTTATGTAGACATATAATTTTTATAGGATAAGAACAAAACATCCATTTGGATAGTTAGGTTCAAGATGGCCATCTTACTCCATATTCTATATGGATGCTCTTCTGTCCTATGTCAACTATCTCAATGTAAAACCACTTTCATGTAAGTGACTAAGAGAAAAAAAAAGACACAAAAAATATATATGACAAAACAAGATAGTAACCATTACCCCAGCTTTCATAGCTCACAGGCTAAAGTGACTGTAAACCCTCACCTTGTAAAACAACCAATTTGGTTTAAAAAATAAATGAATGGCAAAACATTTGTGTATAGATATCAATGACATTATCAATACCTTTTTTTTCCCCTCGTTTATAAGAGATCACATTCCCTATGTTCTCAGCTGCATAAGAGCTGGGGAGTAGAAACAGCAGTATACGAATCTTCCCAGTGAATGGCTCTGCAGGGGAGGTGTGTCAGAACAAGTCTGATCATTGGAGGAGAGCAACTGAGTTCCCAGCATAGCTAGAGAACTGACCACAATGTGTTCTCCTGATTAGTGTGGTCAATTTTAATAGAAAAAGCAAAGGGTTTACATATTCTTTAAAGATCTCACATACCATCCATTTCACCAAGAAAAGCACGTTTGATTCCAATATAGCACGCAAGCAGCATTTCCTTGCCACAAACCTCCATCTTTATATAGACCAATATTCACCGCTCCCCATGGTCACCGCCCACGGCCCTCTCCAAAATGGCATTGTGGTTGACCATTCCCTCCTACAAAATGGCATCACTTCTGGTTTTGACGAACAGAAAGTGATGTCACATCCTGTCTTTGTGAAATGCGTTGGTCCTGTACACCTAATACTGAAAGACAAACTGCATTTGTGAATTTATTGTTTTTAATTGGGGTCTTGTATCTTACTGTTTTTATCGTTATGGAATACAAATTGATTTGTTTATTATTTTTGTCTGATTTCTCAGTGGTACATACAAAGTCCCATCCACGGTGTCCCTGCCTTGTCTGGCTTTCAAATATATATATATCTATATATATATATATATACAAAAACAGAACTTCTAAACATATTTTCTACATATATACTGTATGTAGCCAGGTGTTGGCTACTGCAAAATGGACTCAAGGGGACATCATCAGACTGAACCTTAAGCTATTTAGTTCCCTCCTAATGACCCAGGACGTTACATTACTTCCTGTTTATATTCTTCCTGTAAAAGAGCAGATCTTGGAACCTGTAATCCTATTGCCATTTCTCCCTGTATCTTAATTCCTTTGCGCCGATGGCACGTAAATATGCAGCCTCTCGGCAGCGGCTATTACCCAATGTAAACAAACATGAACCCTGCTCGCTCACGGCACATTTACCGGCGCCTCATGGAAAGGTAGCAAGTAGCGATCAGGAGCTTTCCGAACATGTGACTACTGTGACAGCCAATCATAGCGATCACATGACCCTAAACCCCATAGTCATAACTCCCTTAAAGGGTTGGGAGGCACCGGCGCCAAGGAGTTAAAGCCCCTTTTGAACTACAAATCCCAGACGAGCTAAATCAATAAGGGATTATGGGGAAGCCTACAGTATATATTTGACTGTATCTGGCAGGCTCACTTTCTTGGCCCAGGAAGAGCATAGAAGATGGTTGGATGCCACCATTCTGCATTCAGCCGCATCAGGACTCAGCAGCCCAGCCTGTGACACACAGCCTATTCATCTGCACAGCTGCACCACAAATGGCCTCGCTGAGTGCTCACAGTCACTTCCCGCTATTCAGCAATCCTCTCAGCCTTCACAGTGTCATCTGCCATGGCTGACAGTGCACTGACATCTTGCTGTAGGCCAGTGTTTCTCAACTCCAGTCCTCATGGACCCCCAAACAGGTCATGTTTTCAGGATTTCCCTCAGATGAAACAGCTGTGGTAATTACTAAGGCAGTGAAACTGATCAAATCACCTGTGCAAAATAATGGAAATCCTGAAAACATGACCTGTTGGGGGTCCATGAGGACTGGAATTGAGAAACACTGCTGTAGGCCCATCACTTTTTCAGTGGAGAGAAAAAGGCTTGTTCAGCTCATCCTGTAGTGTCCAAGACCACATCTGTGCCAGGATTGGTGAAAGGGACGATGCCCACTTTTTTGCTTTACCCAGTTGTACAAAGACACTGCTAGCCGACACCTGTGAAGCCAAGTCAATTGAGGAATCCTAGCTTTGTCATCTCCCCAGTTCTCTGTGCTGACTTGTCCTTCTCCATCACTCTTCACCTTTAAAGGGCCCGAATTACTAGCAAAAGATACACCAATTAAAAAGCCATTCATTGTGTCCCATTGAGTTGCACCAGTGGTTGCAAGGGAGCTGGTGGTTTTCCTAAGCCTCTCCCCCACAACCAGGGCTGCACTCTCACTAGGCACCATTGGTGCACAGGGGTAAATTACAGTCTGCTGACAGTATTAAAGCATTGCTATTCACCTTGTGTTACCATTACTTAGTTATTCAAACTGTGTATATTGCTGTAAACCATTTAAAAGTGGTAACTCCTACGGGGTAACTTTACACACACATACACACACACACACACACACACACACATATATACACACACATTATATTGCCAAAAGTACTGGGACACCCCTCCAAATCATTGGATTCAGGTGATTCAATCACCTCCATGGCCACAGGTGTATAAAATCAAGCACATAGGCATGCAGACTGCTTCTACAAACATTTGTGAAAGAATGGGTCGCTCTCAGGAGCTCAGTGAACTCAAGCATGGTACCGTGATAGGTTGCCACCTGTGCAATAAGTCCATCCATGACATTTCTTTACTACTAAATATTCCACGGTCAACTGTTAGTGATATTATAACAAACTGGAAGCAACTGGGAACAACAGCAACTCAGCCACCAAGTGGTAGGCCACGTAGAACGACAGAGCAGGGTCAGTGCATGCTGAAGTGCAGAAGATGCCAACTGTCTGCAGAGTCAATAGCTAAAGACCTCCAAAATTCATGTGGCCTTCAGGTTAGCACAACAACAGTGCGTAGAGAGCTTCATGGAATGGGTTTCCATGGCAGAGCAGCTGCATCCAAGCCTTACATCACCAAGTGCAATGCAAAGCCCCATTCAGCAGCATTATCACCAGAAAACTAACCTTGCCTCCACAGCACACCACAGTTAACAGTCAGGAGGCTGAGAAGGAGGACAGGCACGCTACCCACACAACAGAACGATCATCTGCATTTGCGCTGCACCTCGCTCTCACACAGCAAGTTGACTGGCGCCAAAATGAGCTTCTAGTTGGTCTACAGAGAGAGGCTCCCAATCACCTCCCACACTGTCTGTGGCAGAGGTGCCAGAATGCTGTTCTGCTAGAAAAAAAATATATATATATATACAGTATATACAGTTGTGTTCAAAATAATAGCAGTGTGTTGAAAAAAGTGAATAAAGCTCAAAATGCTTCTAATAGCTTTTATTTCCATACACATAAATGCATTGGGAACACTACACATTCTATTCCAAATCAAAACATGAAGAAAAATATATCAAATTTGTGTTGTTCCTCTAAAAAAATTGCAGAAAAGTGAATATTAGACTGTTCAAAAAAATAGCAGTTTTTGTATTCTTCTTTACAAACTCAAACATTCACTATATAAACTGAAAAATGTTTGAAGATTTTGCTTTCCTTTGAATCACTTAATGAATATTTAGTTGTATAAGCACTGTTTCTGAGAACTGCTGTACATCTGTGTTGCATGGAGTCAACCAACTTCTGGCACCTGTGAACAGGTATTCCAGCCCAGGATGATTGGACTACATTCCACAGTTCTTCTCTATTTCTTGGTTTTGCCTCAGAAACTGCATTTTTGATGTCACCCCACAAGTTTTCTATTGGATTAAGATCCGGGGATTTGGCTGGCCACTCCATAACATCAATCTGGTCTGGAACCAACATGTTGCATGTTTACTGGTGTGTTTGGGGTCGTTCTCTTGTTGGAACACCCATTTCAAGGGCATTTCCTCTTCAGCATAAGGCAGCATGACCTCTTCAAGTGTTATGATGTATTCAAACTGATCCATGATCCCTGGTATGCGATAAATAGGCCCAACACCGTTGTATGAGAAACATCCCCATATCATGATGCTTGCGCAACCATGCTTCACTGTTTTCACAGTGTACTGTGGCTTGAATTCAGTGTTTGGGGGTCGTCTGACAAACTGTCTCCGGCCACTAGACCCAAAAAGAACAATCTTACTTTCATCAGTCCACAAAATGTTGCGCCATTTCTCTTTAGGCCAGTCAATGTGCTCTGATGCAAATTGTAACCTCTTCAGCACGTCTTTTTTTTCAACAGTGGGACTTTGCGGGGGCTTCTTGCAGATAGCTTGGCTTCACATAGGAGTCTTCTAATTGTAACAGTACTCACAGGTAACTTTAGACCTTCTTTGATCTTCCTGGAGCTGATTGTTGGCTGAGTCCTTGCCATTTTGGCTATTCTTCTATCCATTCCAATGGTAGTTTTTTGCTTTCTTCCAAGCCTTTCAGGTTTTGGTTGCCATTTTAAAGCATTTGCGATCATTTTAGCTGAGCAGCCTATCATTTTCTGCACTTCTTTATATGTTTTCCCCTCTCCAATCAACTTTTTAATCAAGGTACGCTGTTCTTCTGAACAATGTCTGAAACGACCCATTTTCCTCAGAATTTCAGAGAGAAATGCACTGTAACCAGCATGTACAACATTTGCTGCCTTCCTTCCTTAAATAAGGGCAATAATTGCCACCTGTTTTTCAAAGAATGAATGACCTCACTAATAGAACTCCACACTGCTATTATTTTGAACATGCCCCATTCAATCAGTGATTCAATTACACAGAATCAGCAGCATGCATGTCATGACTGTTGGGTCTGTTGGATTTCTATTACTAGTGCTAGTAAATTATTTACCATGTAGAAATATCATTTCTACCAAAAACAGTGATTGATCAGGTTAGTGATGTCTGACTGCTATTATTTTGAACATAACTGTGTATATGTATATATATATATATATATATATATATATATATATAAATATACACACACAGGTGAAACTTGAAAAATTAGAATATCGTGCAAAAGTTCATTTATTTCAGTAATGCAACTTAAAAGGTGAAACTAATATATGAGATAGACTCATTACATGCAAAGGATTGTGGATTTGGGGTTTTCATGAGCTGTAAGCCATAATCATCACAAGTATGAGAAATCACGGCTTGAACTATCTTGCTTTGCATGTAATGAGTCTATCTCATATTTTATAGGTAGTTTTTGTTCCCTCATTTCTAAGTGTGCATTACTGAAATAAATGGCAACTTTTGCACGATATTCTAATTTTTTGAGTTTCACCTGTGTCCCTGATACAGCTATGTCTTTGGAACATGTTTGGGGCTGCTTATATATATATATAATATAATTTTCCTATATAGCTATAAACTATATATATGTCTTAGATTGCAAGCTCCAAGGAGCAGACAGGGCCCTCCTAACCCTCTTGTATTGAACTGTATTGCTGCCCACACCTGTATTGTCTCCCAATACGTTTCGTGAGAAATACATTTGTATTGTCTCGCTGAGCAAACTGTTGGTGCTATATATATCCTGTATTATAATAATAATTATATATATATATATTCATTTGTGTACACTCTGCTGTGTAATTGTAACACTGGAAAAAATGCCTGGTAATGAAGAGGTTTCACAAGCTAGGTAATCGGCTGAATTGTCAGACAGGGAGTCACTGTAAGTTGCATTTTAGTAAACAGGTGCCAAGTTAGAAGCCATAATGCAAAGCAGGCTCAGGTTGGCAGAAACACATGCATACATTGCAGAACAATGAAAACTGAACTTATCCAGATACCTCTGCCTCATCAGGTGTGGCCTTTCAGCGCTGCTGAGGGAGGTAAGCTGAGAAACGTATCTGCCCTAGATTTGTCTAGGGACCTAGGGAGTTGTGGGAAAGTGGAGCTGAAGAGTCCTGTGCCTGCATCTGAGCATGGCGAATAATAGACATTCTGTAACAGAGCTATAAAAAGGTTAGTACTTACAGTAAGTGGTTACATTTTGTAGAGAAGTGGACACAAAACAAGATGTAATAAGGCAGTAAGAGGTCACAGTAAGTTTAGTGCACAAAGCAGACAGAAATTCTTTCAAAATGGAACATATTCTCTTGTCTCTTGAGGGAACAGTCTACAGGTAAAAATTGTTATGCAGACAAAAGAAAGCTTCGTATTGTAATTATTTTACTGTGTTCCATATGGCTCATCCAGCTTTTGAAAGTTCTGCATTAAGTTTACATGGCATTAGTATTAAAACTCTGCTTTTGTTGTTTGCTGAATTGCAGTGTGCATTGCCAACTCACACCAGAGATGAATGAGTGCCTATGGTGATATAAAACACCTTGGTGTTTGCCAGAAATCTTTAGCTGAAGGTGAACCACCCTGAAAAGCGCAGTATGAAGCTACTGTACATGAAAAATTAAAGCTAAACACACGACAACAAATGAGGTGCTAGCTTTTATTTAGTAAACTACATTCTAAATACAATATAAATGTATCCTAACCACTTGCCCTCCAGAGGATTTACCCCCCTTCCTGGCCAGGCCATGTTTTGTGTTACGGCACTGCGTTACTTATTTTTTGCGCTATAAAAACAAAAAAAGAAGACCAACAAATTTGAGAAAAAAAACAATATTTGTGATTTTTTGCTATAAACATGTCCAGTAAAAAAATTATAAAAATCAAATTTCATCATAAATTTAGACCAAATTGTATTCTGCTACATGTATTTGCTAAAAAAAATCCCAATAGGTGTAAATTAATAGGTTTACGTGAAAGTTATAGCGTTTACAAATGGCAGTATATATACAGGGATTTTTTTAAATTGTATTTTTACTAGTAATGGCAGTGATCAGCAAATTATAGCAAGACTGTGGCAGGCATTCTGACACTGGGGGAACTGACGTGGTGTCACTGACATCCCCAGTGACACCAATACAGTAGTCAGTGCTAATAAAAAGCACTGACACTGTACTAATAGCACGTCGGAGATGCCTGGTAATCACCGAGTAATCACTGGTGATTGACAGCCATGGCCACGAATGTCAGCGCGGGCAGGGCGCACGCCCCCTACCTAGAAATGCAAAATCACGTGTATATATATGTGATTTTGCACTCCGTGCTGCCCTGTAGCAGTATATTTGTTATAGGGCTGATGGAAAGCGGTTAAAGGGCCACTATAGTAAAAAAAATATTCTATTATAGTAACTTTAGGGAGCTAATATTTGTGAATATACACTGCTCAAAAAAATTAAAGGAACACTTTTTAATCAGAGTATAGAATCAAGTCAATTAAACTCCTGGGATATTGATCTGGTCAGCTAAATAGCAGAGGGGTTTGTAAATCAGTTTCAGCTGCTTTGGTGTTAATTAAATTAACAGGTGCACTAGATGGGTAACAATGAGACGATCCCCAAAACAGGAATGGTTTTACAGGTGGAGACCACTGACATTTTTTTCCTTAGTCATCTTTTCTGACTGTTTTTCACTAGTTTTGCATTTGGCTAGGGTTAATGTTACTACTGGTAGCAGGAGGCAATACCTGGACCCTACAGAGGTTGCACAAGCAGTCCAACTCCTCCAGGATGGCACATCAACACGTGCCATTGCCTGAAGGTTTGCTGTGTCTCCCAGCACAGTCTCAAGAGCATGGATTCCAGGAGACTGAAAGTTACTCTATGAGAGCTGGACAGGGCCGTAGAAGTTCCTTAACCAGTCAGAAGGACTGGTATCTGCTCCTTTGTGCAAGGAGAAACAAGATGAGCACTGCCAGAGCCCTACAAAATGACCTCCAGCAAGCCACTGGTGTGAATGTCTCTGACCAAAACAATCAGAAACAGACTTCATGAGTGTGGCCTGAGGGCCCAACGTCCTCTAATGGGCCCTGTGCTCACTGCCTGGCACCATAGAGCTCGATTGGCATTTACCATTGAACACCAGCATTGGCAGGTCCACCACTGGTGCCCTGTGCTTTTCAC